CCATCAAGAAGGAACTGAAACATCTTTGCAAGAGCCAAAACAGGGATTCATATTCAAGGTCAGTGGAAAGAAGGGGGGAGAGGAAATGCGACATATACTGACGACCCTTCCAAACAACACTATTGGCCAACGTTCGCATGTTACGCACAAAGGAGGGGCCCATGTCATGGAATTCACAGCCATAAAGCATTGCCGGGAGAATGGCCCTCATGAAAACAGACGCTTTCCTTGTCCTGGACCACGGCATGACCTTGAGCTTCTGCAATTTGGGCTGGCACTCGTCAACACGCTTATTGCGAATTGAAGTAACACGCGCACCCCTGGCCTGAAATTCAATCCCCAAAAGCGACCCCGAATCACAAACTTCCCCAGGCAGACCCTGAAACCTAAGTGCACGCGACAAAGACTTTCTAGCTGCACCCGAAGTGGCATAGCAAACAGTCTTGGACACCGAAAGAATCAATCCCACTTTACCAGCAAGGTCTTTGGCAAACAAGAGCTGCCTAACCACACCTTCAGCGGAAACATCCCTTATAGTCCAGTCATCGACATATGATTTTAGAGATTTTCCAGGGAAATTCCGGTTAAGAGCCATGGTGAAAGCCCAAGTGGTAACGGCCATCATGAGCACGCTGAGGGGACAACCCTCTGGAACCCCATTATTGCTCAAAATAGGGTCAGACCATCTTTGCTTAATGGTGAAAAATCTAGAGAGCTGATGCAAGTGCGCCGCATACGGGGACCAAACTCCTAAAAGGCCCAATCGTTGACACAAACATCTTAACAAGGGGCGGCTAAGTGTATTAAATGCCTTATGAAGATCCATTGTCGCACCAAAATATATAGGAGAGGGGCAGCTCTTGGGCAACTATTATTTGGGCCGATTTGCTAAGATATATGAGCTTGGTAAAAAACTCTTGTGCCCTAGTGCTCCTCAAGTTGAGTTCTAGTGCTCCTCAAGTTGAACCCTAGTGTTTCTCAAGTTGAGCCCTAGTGCTTCTCAAGTTGAGTTGAAAATGCTCCAAGTTGAGCCCTCGTGCTCCTCAAGTTGAGCAGTTTTTCTCGCCTGCAAGTCGCCTGCAAGTCCTCTGCAAGTTGCCTACAAATCGTCCTTGTGACGGGCAGTGACGGGAAGTGACGGGTAGTGACGGGTAGTGACGGGTAGTGACAGGTGCGTCTTCAAGCGTCCAGGCAGCATTCCTGCAAGCAACCCCGCCGCAAAAAATACCAGCGGCACCGCAAGCCGGCCCGCCCAAAATTAAAAAAAATGTCAACCGCGGCTTGCGGCGCAGCTTGCCGTGCAGCCGGTTTCAGGCTGCGACGTCGCAGGGTAGAAGGAAAAAGAGTCAGCTCAGTCCTTACGACGCAATGCCAGCTTGCGACTGGGGACGGCCCTGTGATTGCAGCGAATGCCGTCCTGTCCGTCAATGCAGCCGCTGCGGAAAGCCGCTTGAGGTCATGCACTGCTTGGATCGGAAGGGGTTTGGAGACTTCGAGTATGAAAGCTGTTCTTGCTCTTCAGTTCCGTCCTCCAGAACAGCCTCAAACGACTGCCAATGTCAAAAGCATAATTGCATCTTTATGGCCTGCGGAATGTGTGGCGGAAAGCACCTGTGCTACAACTGCCTACGTCAGTTTGACCTGATCGCCATGTGAGAGCCTTCTCAGTTTGCGACGAAGGGACTATAACAAAGAGCAATGGCAACAGCGGCAAAGCAGGCGGCTTGTGGCGCAGCCGGCCGTGCAGCCGGTTTCATCGCTTCCAACTTTTATCTTGCACGCAAACAGCCATCAGCAGACGTCTCTCCAAAGCCTGCCAAGAGGTGCTAGTGTAAAAGGATCATGGCAGCAGCCCGTCAAGCTGTCATCAAGCAGGTGTACGAGAACCCCCGCACAGGGTTTGGGAACCTAGCCGATACCCTTCGTCAAGCCCGTCAGCAGGATCCCAACATCACTAGGCAGGATGTCAAGCGTTTTATGGACGGTTTAGTCACGCGTGAAGACCGCCCTCAACGCGGCTACAACAGCTATGTGCCTCCAGAGCCGATGCACCAGCTTCAAGTCGACCTCGCGGACATGGGAAGTTTTGCCAGGGGTCCGTATCCTTACATGCTAGTAGCAATAGATACGTTCACGAAAAAAGCTACAGCAGTTCCCATGAAAGACAAAACAGCTAAAACAGCAGCAGAAGCCTGGAACAAGGTCGTTTTAGATCTGGGGATCCCGGCCTACGTTTACTCAGACGACGGTACAGAGTTTAAGAGGGAGTTTAGGGAAAAGCTAGATTATTGGGATATTGAAAAGATTGTGAGCAGGGGCCACGCAGTCGTTGCCGAAAGAGCTATCAGAACCCTAAAGGAAGCGTTGATAAGGAGGCTGAGTGCTGGAGTGGGGCGGCGAAATCAGTGGCACTTGCTCATGCCTGATATTCTAGCTCAATACAATGATCGCAAACACGCCGGAACAGGGGTCACTCCTAACGAAGCCTACGACAACCCTCAAAAGGCTTTAAGAGCTCTGAGGACGATGCGCCGCCGCGCGAAGCACGGAGCAGAACCAAGACCTCATCTCGGGGTTGGAGATCAAGTGAGGGTCAGGGTGAAGCCTATAGAGTTGCGGGGCTCTTACAGGGTTACCGAGACCGCGTGGAGCGAACGAGTATACATGATAGCTAGAGTAGATTACACTAATGCAGGACCTCTCTTTACTCTAGATGGGTGGGCTGGCGGAAGGCTGGTAGCCAGGGACCTACGCAAAGTAGAGGGGGAAAGGGACAGGCGCTTCCCAACGCAAAGCCGAGAACTCCGCACAGCTAGGGCTGCAGCAGCTCGAAGAGAGAATTTCCCTGTGGGACCGGTAGCGCCAGCCTGAGAAGAGCGTCAGTACAGAAACCGCGCAACTGCTCCGGTCCACCTATAGACACTACTGCAAGAAAGACAGGTAGCCTAGCGGGAGGCCTCACCTTTTTGCTTCAACGTGTTCTCACGCTGGTTGGAGTTTGTGGCAGTCCAAGAAGCTGCACATCTGTAGGCTCCCAGCCTGCTGTACTGTTAGGAAAAAGAAGCCAGCTGTACTGTACACGGCTTTGGAATAGGCACTAAAGAGGCAGTACCCCACGCCTAAGGTTGGCTAACTATGTATGTGCTATTTCCGACCCTTTCAGATACTGCGCTCAGAGCCACTCGTCGCTATACACCCCTAGACCCCCAAACCCCGGAGCACTCCAACTGCGATCTCGCCTCGCTGCTCCAGGACCAGGTACCCTCCAGGCGCGAGGAAGCTGATCACTTCAAAGATCAAGTTGCGCCAGTGACCGTGCGGTCGACTGTTGTGCCTGTCGAGCTGATACACCTTGTCAGTGAAGGGCGAAAGTCCTACTTTTTGCACGCAAACCAGGTTGACCACATGGTTGCGAGACTCGAAACGGTAGGAGATCACGGCCTCACCAGGAATTCCCTCCATCCAAGCTTGGCGATAGGCCTCATGCGTGAGCTGCTTTCGCAGTGAGAGGAGCTCCCTCATCTCCGAAACGTCGTGGGAGACGGTGATCTCGTTGGTAGCCTCGACGTAGGTCGCGGTGGCAAAGTTGCTGCTGATCCAGGCCGCAAGGTCTTACGCCCGTGTAGGCTCCGACAGGAAGCTGCGCCCAGTTGAGCGTCTCCAAGGCTTGGGCCCTCCAGTACATGTAGGTGCCCCGATCGGTGCTAAGAAAGGTGTCCGCAACCCGAATCTTGAACACGGAAAGCCGCGCCGAGCCTTGGAGGTGCACCGTCTGCCCGACGTCAAACTCGAAGTCCGCATCCGTCCCGGCCGCACGCTTTCTGCTGTCCACCCAGATGGACGTCATCAGCTTGAGTTTCTTGCAGGCGAACCGCTCGCTCGGAAGCTCCGTGTCACTGCCGTCGGTGGGCGCCCGGGGTTGTTGGCGGGGCCACCGGGGATCGTAGACGGGCGGCTGCTGCATCCAAGGCGGTCGGGAGAAGGGGTCGTAGACCTTGAGCTCCGCGCTCGAAGTACAGCAGTTGATGTTCCTGCACTTGGACTGGCAGAAGGCGCTGCTACCCAGCAGCTTCCCGCAGATCGCGGTTGCCACCTGTCCCATGGTTCTTTAGTTGGAACACCCGCTCAAAGCGGACGTGGAACATGCGGTCTCTCGGGTTGAGTGGTATAGATGAAGAAAAAACTGCAGGGCTCCTCCACCTGCCGCCTCGTATCGGGCGGAGCTTCTGGGTAAAGACGATGGTGGAGATCTGGAAGTGCCTTCTCGCGCATGGAACAGGGTGTCCAGAGCCAAGGCGCCCGTCTTCTTGTGGAGAGACGGCGAATCTGCGTGATCGTCAATGACCACCAAGATTTAGTAGAGCTGCTTGCTCGTCTCGGTGATCTTGCGCTGCTGGTTGATGGTCCTGCGCAGAGCGGATTACGCCAGCTGTCATCGACGTTGATGCTCGGGGCTAAAAATGATGATCCTCTTAAAGCAGTCGCGGTACTGCTCCAGAATCAGACAAGGGCCGTGCTCTTCCCCGACTTGCTCGGACCGACCAGCATGCCCGTCATCGGGAGCCGATGGGGTCCTTCGGCTGCTTGACCTAGTAGGTCGGAGATGGAAAGAGCTTGATCTTGCCCATCGATACTTTACTTTCCGCGATCGAATGCGACGGACGTGCATCGTATGGTAAAATGAATCCGGAGCTTCATAGCTAGCCGCCGCCGTTTGCGATCTGCCCTCGGGGTCGTGCAAATGGAAGCACAAGGGCAGAACTTGGCAGGTCGGGCGGGAGCATTTGAGAAGTCTGCGACGCTGGGCCTCTTCGCCCATGGCGGCATCGCTGGCATCTCCAGGGCCTCGGATGATGAAGAATCTGCCGGGCCGTCAAGATAACAGTTGCCCAAGAGCCAAACAACGGCTTGTTGTCCATCAAATGATTCTCTATTTCTACCAGGAGTTGCATTGCAATGTCCACTGACCCGGTATCGAGCCGCACAGACTCGACATTGATGCTTAAAACATTTGGCGGTCATAAACCTTCCCCACAATCTAAAGACATTCGGTAAATACAAATTGGGGCGCGTGCGAGAGATATCTCCAGGCCTGCAAGTCGCCTGCAAGTCCTCTGCAAGTTGTCTGTGTTCTACAAGGGCATTGAAGCCTCGGTTTCGACTGTCCACAACTCCGCAAGAGCTGGTTCCAAGGCGCCACTCGTTGCTCTCTGTAGCAACTGTCCAGTCTGGCTTTGATTTATTCTGGGTCTGCCAAAGTCTTGCTATCCGATTCATGCTTCCGCTCCGGCAAAGGAAAGTTCAACGATAAAAGCCTTTCCGCGTTTTCATTCGAGATCCATCGGAAAGCTTGCGGAACGTAGGCTGCCAGAGCCCACATGTGCTCTTCGTGCGTTTTGGTTCTCAGCTTCACCTCGGCCGGAAATGAACCGTTTTTATCCTCGACCCAGACTCGACCGCCAGAAAATGAACCGAGGGTGATGGCGTGGTTCATGTGGCCCTTCAGATTCCGATGAAGCCCCATCTTCGGATTGCAAAGAATCGCGATGGAGGTCCACGTTTTGCCGGGTTATGCAGAAAATGATTGATTTCATCACGTTCTGTGTGGCATTCATGGATCAACTTGATCCTTCTGAAGAGCAGCTCACAGCGCGGAATTGGCATATTTGAATTGACAGCCCGGTGTGCTTGGTGCAGTGAACAGTTGCCTTGATTGACTTGGTCAGCTTGTGTCCCATCTTTATTCAGCTACTGCTTTGACTCTAGCTGTCAGAATTGACTCAGGTGCATTTTGGTCTCTCACAGGATGTCGACAGGTCATTGCAGACTGCATTGTGAGTTGCATTGATTGTTTTGCTGCGAAGACATGTCATCTTGTTAACTGAACATCTTATCTCACACTCTGGATTTATCGAAAGTTTCAGATTGACGCATTGTGAAGTACACATTGCATCATGAAGAGAGTTGGACTTGCTTTCATTTGGTTGACTTGCCTTGCCTACAAGGCTTCTTGTATTGGTACTTTGATCTCCAGATTGAGACTGCGCTTTCCGTTTTTTTTATTGATGGATTTTTGAGATTGTGCTGGTCGATGGTCAGATTGATGTCAAGTTGACTATTAAAGAGTTCCTCTGATTGCCAGAGTTGATACAGTTCTTGAATCAGCAAGTCGTGCAGCGATATTGTTTCTTTTTTTGAGAACATTCAGGTCATTGTATGACTGCATTTGCATCGATGGACTCATTGATGTGACTGGATCTGGTGCTGATTGTATATTTGTATGCACCGGCATTCTCGACGTTGGTTGACAGACATTTGTTCTGGTGATTCAAGACTTCTGAAGTTGTTGATTGACCACTTTAGTCCTTGTTTGGTTGATGACTATGTTGATTGTTGTTGTATTTTTGGAGGACACTGTTGGACTCATTGCTTTGTTTGATTCAAGGGACCGAGCTGCATTTTGGTTTACAAATTGTCTTGAAACATCCATCGTCTACGATCTGTTTAGGTGTTTTGCGTGGATGATTGTTTTGTCGTGTAGATTGTGTGCAACTATGACCAATCCTTCACTGATGACTCAGTGGATGCATTGATTGAAGACAGTTTGCATCTGAGCTGTCCTGTGAGTGATTGCACTGATTCTGCAAGAGTATTGTTTGCATTTACATGATGTTTAAAACATTCCATGCGCAGATTTTCTTCAGGCAGTTTGAGTGAGCGCAGTAAGCGCATGAGAACATTGCGTGTTGGCATTCTTTGCATTTCCTGAGAACATGTCAAGTGATTGTGTTTGTTGCGCGCAGACACTTTATGTGTATGGGTTAGTTTAATGTGCTACGCACCGCCGTTGCCTGAACAACACTCCCATTGTTTTCTTCCATTGTTTGGAGCTGAAACAGTGGACATTCTATTTTCACAACATCATTGCCACTTTTGGCATTCATCCATCACAGGTATTGTGCAGTGAAATCAAAATTGTTTTGTAGTGACTCTGCATGATTGATTTTCCAACATCTTTGCATGATTGGTTGCACTAATTGATTTGCATTGCGCAGATTCAGTGGAATTGTATTTGAAGCTCTTGATCTCAATTGAGTTTGCGCCTTGCTTGTGTTGCTCAATATTGCATGTACTCAGCATTAGCTCGCCATCTGCGCCATTGATTCCCTGCGCTCTGACATTGCTCTCCTGTCATTCAGGATGACAACCATTGAGCAGGATACATTGGCAGCAAGCAGCATTGGACCAACTGGTCCATCAGCTGATTCTGATGTCCACATTAAGGAAGCCACGACATTGGTATCAGAGATTGGAAGCATGGATTCAGAGTGGACTCGCCGCACAAGTGCGGCATTGTCATCAATATTGTGGAGATTGTTGCGTGCTCCCGTGCGCCGTCGCAATTGTGCTGGTGACATTAGTGGACATCATTTCGTTCTCCGATCAGAAGATTTGGAACTGCATTCACAATGACCATCCCACTCAGATTGGGATCACCCAATTTTGCATCACTGCTGCGTGCAGTTGACAGATTTTTTCTCAACGGCAATTGCTGTGGTCACAGGTGCTGCAATGGCGCCACATGGTGCGCGTGTCGTTACCAGACCGTGCCCATTGGTCGGCGGCAATTGCTTCTCAAGTCAGCCATTCAATTGTTGACGCCGCTGACATTCCACTGCGGCTAAGACCTTTGTCTTATTTTGAAGCTGGAGGGTGCACTGCTGAAATTGTTCCAGAACAGAAATAGCTGGATTTCAATCGCAGACAATTGACTTCTTCTAATCCATCCATTGAACAGCTAACTTTTCTCCGCCTTTTAAGATTTCCTCATTGAAGGTGAATTGGTGCTGAACACGTTTTCTGCAACTTCTGTGAAGCCTTGTGTGCCGCTAAGTTGGAAGCTTGACCTGCTTGAGGGTGTGCTGGACACGCTAGGCGGAGGATCTGGACCTTCTTTGCCGAACGAAGAGCAAGTTGCGCTTGAGCCTTCTGTTTCGACGCAGGTACTGAGCAGTGGACCACCAGCAGAGTTCTTTAGGAACCATGGGTACAGCCGGATGCACAGCTTGCAGCAATCTTGAGTTTGGAAAGCCGGTCGCCGCAGGTATGCCCTGTGGTTGTCTGAGCAGATTGTTCCCGAGAGAGCACCGTTGGCTGTGGAACCCGAAAGGCTTGGTGAGCAAGCGCCTCAGGAGCCTTCCGCGGGCAGTGGAATCGCTCGTGATGAGCATGGCCGCAGGTTGATTGATGTTCCGAGTGATCTGCGTCCTGTCCCTGGTACTGTGGAGGCAGATGTTGCCATGGATGAGCCTGCAGCTATGCCACTCCCTGGGGCACCTGTTGACTTGAGCTCTGAAGGAGCCGTTCGTCGTGTTGATAAGCCTGCTACTAGGGGCCTTGAGCCGTCTTCTGGAGAAGGCGAACAAGCAGCTAAAAGGGTGAGGTTCACTGCGCCTCCTGCCCAAAACACCTCACCACCTCTCCTCATCAAGCGGCTGCCTTCTTCCAGACGAAGCGATGTCAGTGCGCCAGTCCCTTTGAGCCCA